CTGCCGGTTGGTGTGCCCCTTTGTGCCTGATATTATCGCCCGTGACGCCAGCGAGTGAGATGGCGACAGGCATGACTGCTCAGTAAACAGGCGTCGGCGGCCATGTTTTGCTGGTTGAAGCGAACCCCCTTGTCCTTGACAGCGAGCGGGGAAATGCGAAAAAAAGATTGTATCGGCCGTTTTGCCAGAACTAGCGACGAGTGTCGTCTGCGGTTTCCGGCAACTATTTTGCCATAATCGTGAGCTTAGCGAGGAAATGATTTTTGCTAGCCACAGAACACTACCACGCAGAAAGGGAATGCTTGAACATGTTTTTGTTCTGGATATATATCAGGGATATATATGAGAGAGAGAGAGAGATGAAGGTAGAGCAGAAGAGGGAATAGCATATAGTGTCGCAGGAGAATAAAGTAAACAAAGTTCCTAGTGGCCGATGGCTGCATGATCTTTTCTCGGATCACTAGTCCGTAATATGATACCTCTTTGTACACAGTAGTTTCTCCTTAATTTAAGTGTGTGAACGATTTCTTTAGTTATCATTGGCCTCATCTGAATAAAAATATATAAAAGATGTGTGTTGGTTTCATGAAACTGGAACTCAGAGTCAGTTCTTGTATAAAACACTGCTAAGTGTAGGCTTTGAAAAAGGACCCTACTTTGGGGAGTTGTATCTTCTTTCTCAATAAAATGATGCAACATGTTTTTAATGGAAATGAATGCTGAAATAGAGTATAACAGGTTACCTAAATTTAAAAAAAAATCGAGGGTGGTGTTTTTTTTTTATTCGCATCGGAATTTTTCTTTGTTTGATTTATTTTCCATGTTTGACTAAATATATCCTAACTATTGTATCACACAGATACCTTAGTTATTTTTTAAATATTAGCTATATATTAGCAGAATAATATCTGCAAATTATATCATAATGATTAAATTATTTCATGAGATACAGACCTCCAAAGTTTGCCATTTGTCGTTCGAGCAGGCATGTTTGTCAATTTTCAGAAAAATAAATAAATTTTAAATAAATATGATTACTTTATATTACAAGCAAGCTATACCCATAGTTTGCGCCTAAAACGTATTAGAGTTCTCCTAATGTTATCGCTTTAGTTATTCACTCTCAAACGGGCCCCCTCCATCAGTGCGCGTTAATGCAACTGTCCACCACCTCATGCCTTACGATTTTTCCTGTCCCCAAGTATTTTTTCTAGTCAAAACTAAGTTTGGATTCGTTCATACCAGACACTAGACAACAACATATAAAAACATCAGTTGATTTGAAAATGTCGACTAGCCATCCTTTGGTCGATCTTATCTGAAATCACCCTACTGCGCCTGCGCGCCGTTAGCCTTGACTGTAGAGTTCCGGGTATCGTTGCGGAGGGCGTTGCGGAATAGCGAAAGGGGTCTACGAAAACTCCCTATTAGGGAGTTTTCGTAGACTTCGTTTCCCCCTCCGCAACGAAGAAGTTGCTACTGCGCCTGTGCTCCGTTAGCCTTGACTGTAGAGTTCCGGGTATCGTTGCGGAGGGCGTTGCGGAATAGCGAAAGGGGTCTACGAAAACTCCCTATTAGGGAGTTTTCGTAGACTTCGTTTCCCCCTCCGCAACGAAGAAGACGGCGAAAACGATCTACGAAAACTCCCTAGCAGGGAGTTTTCGTAGATCGTTTTCGCCGTCCCGCAAGGCCCTCCGCAACCCGCTACGATAGCGGGAACTCCACAGTCAAGGCTATCGGCGCGCAGGCGCAGTAGCAACTTCTTCGTTGCGGAACGCTTAGCGGAGGGGGCAACGCGGTCTACGAAAACTCCCTGCTACTGCGCCTGTGCTCCGTTAGCCTTGACTGTAGAGTTCCGGGTATCGTTGCGGAGGGCGTTGCGGAATAGCGAAAGGGGTCTACGAAAACTGACTTCGTTTCCCCCTCCGCAACGAAGAAGTTGCTACTGCGCCTGTGCGCCGTTAGCCTTGACTGTAGAGTTCCGGGTATCGTTGCGGGTTGCGGAGGGCGTTGCGGGACGGCGAAAACGATCTACGAAAACTCCCTAATGAACAGGGGCTGTGTGCGGTCCGCGGAATAGCCTAGCAGCTCGACGCTGGCAACAGAGAGCTTTGTGCGCACGCGCTTAATCTCTCCCGTGACGCCGCATTTTGCCTCGGCACAGCGCTGGCCGTCCCGACGGTCGACGCTCGCTTGAATATTATTAAAAAATTGGGTCACTGTACATACCATTGACATCTGCAGAAAACAAAATAACGTATACTTATTGTTTTTTCACGTTGAGGAATAAATTAACTCATGGGAGAAGATTTCTAATATTGTTCAAGTTCAGCACGTCATTAAAAATTTTTGTTGTTGTTGTTTTACGTTTCTGGGATGTATTTCTTTTAGTCTGTACATATTTTGGTAGGAGAAACTTGTTTCGAAGTTCTGAGCCTCTGAGTATGTAGAGCACTGTATAGCTTCCACATGAGCAGACTAGTGATCCGCGTGCTTTGCCGACAACACGACCGACAGAGCAGCTCGGCGCGAGTCACGTGGTACTCAGGGTTCCAGGATGCGGCCCGCTCTATGGGAGAACACATGGAGATCGACGCAACACTGCTGATTAAAAAATAAACGCCGAGTTAACACTTTCCGAAACTAGTCTATCGTGAAGTTGGTAAAGCACTAAACACTTCATCAAAGTTTTCATAGTATCGGATGCGTGTTAAAATTTTGAAAAGAAAATTTCCAAGGCAATGGCGTTTGAAGCAGACGATTTTTGTACGCAGCGGGGATGGACTTTCTGGGTAGGCGGGAGCGGGTCACGTGAACGGTGTGACGTCGCCGTGACGTCTGCTACATTATGCCGCTCAAGCACGCAACTTTGCGCAAATTTTTCTAAAATGTTCCTTTATTATGTCAAAAACTATTGACGTTGTGTACATTTCCACAATATTGAAGAAACAAGGATTTTCTCACGTTCCCCATGCATTTCTGATCAGAGTTGGAACTCCCGGACGTTCGCCGCTGGTCGCCGAGAGATGGCATTCTAGATCGCGCTACGGCTTTACCCTACTCTGCAGCTCCGAAGGAGCTAAGCAAGAATACTCCTCCGGCGGGTTCTTGATAGTTTTTATTTTTGTATTTATTATTATTATTTATTAATGGCAGTTATTTAGGTCGAAAAGACATAGCTTTGCACTTCCGAACCACTAAGCATGTGACAAGTAGTGACAGCGAGTTTCCTACAATGACCAACTATGCGATCTTTTATGCAGTAAAGAGCAGCTATACACATACATAAATAATTTCAGATTACAATAAGCTCGACCACGCCCTCTTTCCCCGTATTGTTTTCTTAACAGTCCGAACAGCCCCCCTTTTTTTTTCCCCCAGCATTGTAACCCCCCTGCTGTATAACGCCCTTGGGCACTGCGGGGTAATCTCTGAATAAAGAATAAAGAAAAAAAAATTTTCCTGCCCGCCCCTGGCCGTTTCGAACTGGATGAGTATCGTAAATCAGTGCGTTCGTATGATCACTACTGCGTGATGCACGTTAAAGACCCCCCCCCCCCACCGGGCTGGCGGTGACAATTACTGATCTATGGTCACACGTCACTCTGCATTGGCAAATATTCCAGCACATCCGGGACACTCGTCGTCTCATTTAACTGCCTGACCAAATTCGCGGAATCAATATCACAGCCAAGCTTTTCTAAACCCGATTTCGTGAAAACCAGTAAGGCGTGAAAACATTATTTGAAACAAGCTGTAGGAGCATGAAAACCGGACTTCGAACTTTGAAAACTTAGACTTGAAATTCAAAACCTTCGAAATTTTTTCCTTTTCCAATTTAGACCTAAAAGAGAATCGAAACCTTCGAACTTTATGTAGAAAGAAATTCGAAATTTGTCTATAAAAATCGAAGCGTTCAAAATTTTTCCAACTTTGTCTATAAATATTCGAAACGTTCGAATTTTTCAAACTTCAGATTCAACCATATTCGAAATCTTTCAAATTTTTCAAATTTCAGATCCCAAGAAACTTAAAATTTTTGAATCTCTTGAATTTCAAGTTAGGAAAGTTTCAAATCTTCGATTTTCTCGAACCTCAAGTAAAAAAATATCCGAAATTTTCGAACCCGAATTTTTAGAAACTGTGAAAGCTTCAAACTTTTTGAATTCGAAACTCCATGGTGTTCTAAAGTTGTGAATTTTTCGAGTTCGAACCTCGGTCGGTACGAAAATATCGAAATCTTTCGAATTCGAACCTCAGTTTGGTTCGAAAATGTCTAAACCTTTTGAATTTGAACCTAGGGTGGTTTGCGAAATCCCTAATTTCAAGTGCCCTTGTTTGAAAATTATTTTTGGTTGCTGGAGGGGGAGGAGGAGAATTTTTTTTTTTTTTAAATAAAAGACCCTAAGTCTAGGGCCAAGGGGTCCATATCACATGAGCGAATGACGTTTTAGCGAACAGCGACATTTGAGCGAATAGACGTTTTAGCGAATAACGGGATCGCGCGTTAACCCATCCGCCGCGCTGCGCTTACGCCGCGTCGCGGCGGCTCATTACAAAAATGTGAACCCATTTGGCCCACCCGAAAACGCCGCTTCGCGGCGTCCGACTATTCGCTAAAGTGTCATTCGGTGAAACGTCGGCGTTCGCTAAAACGTCATTCGATCAAGTGAGTGCCTCCCCTTACGTGATGTTATGCGCCAATGAGTCCGCAGCAACATTCATGGTGAAGTAGACAACGAATCTTGCAGTACGCCTGCTCGAAGCTCTCGCACCTCCGTCATCATCCGTATCCAACGTCATCCGCGGTGGTTTACTTTAGGATAGAATTGTAAGGGCCATTTCATTCAAGAGGAACTCTGAAACAAAAATGGGGGAATTAGGGGTTTTCTGACGAGTTTTACTGGCGTTGCAGCACAGAACCATGTGGTAGTAAGGATGTCCATGAAGTTTCAAGAATGTACCATATGCTGATATCTTGTCTTCTACGTTCATTTCAGAGTCATTGAGCTACCAAGAAACGGTGGAACTCATGGACAAGTGTGCCTCGAAGAGTTCCGTCATGGCCCTAAGCATCACAGCATCAACACTACTCGTGATCTACATCTGCACGGTAGCATACTTTGTGGCACAAAGAAGAGTTAAGACGTTACCTTGAAGGACCTTCCAATCTTGCAAACAAGCTACTCACAATTGGTTGTCATGATTAGCTTCCACAGAAATAGTGCAGGAGCACTAATCTACGTTCATTTTTGCAGTTTTCACTGCACACATCTTGAGGGCGAGCTTTGTGGAGACCTTTGAGAGGTCGCAAGTCTCCGAAGCTACCCTTATATGGCTGGACCATTACCTTATGGGTATTAATCGCAAGGCTTTTTGCGAGTGCCATTGCCTGAAACATTTCTTGATGCTTCGCGTGCCGCAATTTAGGTATGTATGAAAAAAAAAAAAGAAGGAAAGAAAAGCCATCTCAGAGCATTCGCTGCAAGAATCTAAAGAAAATGTTAATGCAGACCATACCAGAATTACTGGGTAAACCACTACAGTGTAATGCAAATATTGTTTTTGTGTAAAAAGAAAACTCATTCTACAAGGAAAATAAAACAGCGCAAAAAAGACACGGACAAGCAGAAGGAATACACAGACACAGCGTCCATGCCTCCTTGTGCTTGTCCATCTTGTTTGCAGTTTTATTTTCCTTGTATCATTTACCGAGTCGCCCATCTACAGACGCTGCTGCAGCTCATCTTACACTTCCGTCTCCAAATGCTCTGCACCTCTGAAGAACATTTACTCACTGGCACCCACACCCGTATTGTTGTTGCCATGCGTGTTTGCAAGGCGCTACATTATCCCGGCTTTGTCGCGATACGCAGCTTCATGATCGCTCGTCAAAACTTGGGTATGTACAGAAAGTGAATTGGGCATGTCTCTAGTTGTGTGCCAGATAGCAGCAGCCTCCTTTGGAATGTTCCAAGATGCTCCAAGGTCACAAGACCTTGGAGCATTGTCACAAGGAGGAAACAGTGTGTGTAGGATAACCTTTTGCTACATCACAGATATCTTGAGGCAAGCCCAGTGACGGCTGGAGTCACATTATCACCTGTACTTTTTTATCATGTAAATAGCATAAATGTGCATGTCTATGAATGCTTTCATTTAACAAAGAAACTCAGCCTTATTTTGTTTTTGCACCTTTCCAGGGTTGTTACGACAGTGTGCCGGGTTTGTCTCGAGATTGCTACGACATCTATTACGAATGTTTGTAATGTGCCTTCATATTCCCTCATTACACCGTTATTTATTCTATTTATTGTCGCGTCATGGTATGCCTCATCCTCGCTTCTGTCTCGCTCAGGCCGTCGACTATGAAAGCAATACTTCCAGAGTCGGGCACTTGAGTTTGAGGGGGTTCCGCCACTAGGTGACGGGAGACGGGTGTACAGGGTCTCATAATGTACTTGTCAAAACGAAAAACAAAAAAATCTACCCATGTCCTCGGAAAGACGATGCCTTCAACATACCCTGTACAAAAGTTGCACTGTTTCTCTAGGATGTTTCAATAAAGCTCAAGCAATGTTCGAAACCATACTGGGTGTTTTATGATGCACTACCACGAGTGTCAATTCTTCGACAATTTTGAACACCATTACTTTATTTTTCACAGCAATCAGGATTTACTCGTGGAAACTACCATGCTAAAACTAATTTTTTCATTAAACTTAAATATGTTCTACCGAGTCCTAAAGAAGTGCAAACAGCGGAGCATGTGGCTTTTGATACAGCACTGCCTGAAGGTTCCTGAGAACTCAAAAAAAAAAATATGCAGCAGAGATGGAGGCTGCAAGGGTGCAGGTCCTACCAGCAATTCCCAGATAGCAAGGCCGCAGCACTGAATTTTTCACGTCGCCTACACCCGGCCAGCGGGAGGCGCAGGTTGGACCCGAGTGCAAAGTCAATGTTTGGGTGGGACACATACTCTTTCCGATCGTCTGACAGAGGCTCATTGCAGAGACAGAGATTTTGGTTGCGTGTCAAAGGATCCCAAGGTGACCGAAATGAATCCAGTCTTCCGCTAAGGCATGCCAGACGCCCTTTGTTGGTTAGGTACATGAAACTCCCAAATTTTCCTTTTCCCTGACGAGCTCAGAGACCCCCAGGTGGTTCAGCATATATCGAAAGTCATGTGCTCTGCTGTTTACAATTCATTGAGGCCCAATAGTACTTCATACATATACTTCCTAATCTTTCAGCATAAAAAAAAAGAAGGAAAGAGACATACTTGTGTCTACATCAGGGCCGTAACCAGGGGGGGGGGTTAGGGGGTTCTGACCCCCCCCGAAATTTTTTTCTGGGTACGGCCCTGGTCGGTGCACTGGCAGTCAGTCTATTTTAATCTCCACCTCTGCGCACGCGCAGTGGCGCCGGTCGGCTACCGGGTACCAAACCGGGACCGGTTCTCCGGTTTGCTGTAACTCTCCATTATATGCCACCGATGCACATACACTTTCAAAATGGCCGCCGTTGTCCCCGAAAACCCCCCCCGAAATTTTTTTCTGGGTACGGCCCTGGTCTACATGAATGCTATTGTGGACATAAAATCGGAGGAAAATGTCATGCTGATGCAATGGTGTCATATCCACATGAAAACTTCACTACGAAACTAATGGGATGTAATATGAAAGCACTTCTCCATCCACTTCTCAATTAAGGAGAAGCTTCCTTGTGAAAAAAGAATCCTGCAAACCCTGCATTTCATTCAGATCCAGAAAAATATTGATGCCAACAACTCCCCTTAGTGCCATAATTCTGCTAAAAGCAATCTAACACAAAAATGGCATTGACAAATAAATTTTTCCAGGGATGCAGATACGTCATTTCAAAATCTTGTTCAGAAGCCTGGGGCTTGGCACGTTATTGAAACGCACCGTCGTGGGAGTTAATTCTTTTACGTCTGGTAACTAAACCATGCAAAAGTAGTCACTGCAAAAAGCAATGACTTGATGGACTAGATTCGCTCACACATGCACAGCAAATGACTACCTAGCGAAGAATGAGCACACTGGGCTAATAATGACTTTTGCAAAGGAATCCCATCCAATGGATTGGTGTGCCTCAAGGAGGACAAGACCCAAATAAATGCGGGCTGTTAAATGAGTTTTGCCTCCTTGGCTGTAAATTTTTTTATTTAGCAATGGAATTGAAAGATATGTTCAAATTAAAATTTGAAATCTCCTGTTTCCCAGAAACACATCACTTTTCAATATACCGTAGTACCGACCAGCAATTATGCACTTCCATCACTGCACAAGCCTCTGCGTGCCTTTGTAAAAAAATATTACGGTGGCTGCTGATGATACCAACGGCACACAATATTAGTGACCTCTTTGTCGGACGCAAACCGCACTCTTTTCAGATGTTCCTTCATCTTGGGAAACAGACAAAAGTCTGATGGCATGAGGTCTAACCTGTGAGCTGGGTGGAGCTACATATATTGTAACTGCAGTGCATCCATGCAGCGTCAGTCTCATCAAGAGTCACCTTCGTTCTTTTACGAAAGCAAGCAGAGACTATAGTGCACCGGTGGCATAAGTGCATTGCCAATGGTGGGGACTGCAACCTTCATTTGAATGTAATATCTTTTAATCCCATCACTGAATAAAAAAGATACAGCCCAGGAGGCAAAACTTATTGAGCATCCCTCATACGTGATAGTGGAGTTGCACAAATGCATGAAAGAGAACACAAAAGGGACATCTAAGGCAAAAAAAACACAACCATCGAGCTACCTCAAGACGAAGGCCATAAATATGCCACAACAATATTACAAGCTCTAAGAAGGCTGATAGGATAGATAGAAGAACACAAAAATGTCAACTAAAGAATTGAATGAAAAGACAAATATGCAGAAATGGTGAAAGACAAGACACATCAAGAACCAGGATGTGAGGAACTCACAGTGGCAGTGCTGGAAGAGCTAACAAGATTCCATTGCAAATGGGAACAAAACCCAAAATAGGAAAAATATAAGACCAAACAGATATCACAAAAAAGAGTTCCCATTTGCCTAATTCTAAACTCTGACAACAATGATGAAAATTGAACTCCACACTCCACGTATTCTTCTGCCCGACGGAAGCAGGAGCCGCAAGTGCGACCTCATAGCTTCTCGGGTGCCAGGTCCACAGCAGCACTACGTGCTAAAGTCGGAGGGCCCCCGTCCGCAACCGTTGCTCCGGGCAGATGAGAGAATCCAACAAAACCTACCACGATTCCGGGACGTCCACTTCATCGACAGAAACGCCGCACACGTGTCTCAGAGGCTCGCTCCTTCGCCCCTAAGCAGCAGGCCGCTCTTCTCCATTCCCTTGATCGCCCCCGGGGCCCCCCCCCGAGACGTAGTGCTCCTCCTCCTGCCTGGCAACCCAGCTGCGCATGTTGTGGGTGGTGGCCTGGTACGTGCAGCTGCCCTCCCGCAAGAAACACTCGCCGTCCGACGTTGTGTACACTGTCTGCGGCACCCCGCACACCCGCACCTCCATCACCGACTTGAAGGAGGACTCCGGCGGATCTTCGGGCGACCGCAGGACCGGCACGAACTCGACCGAGTAGCTCGATGAGGTCAGGTGCGGCCGCAGGTTGCCCACCATGAAGTCGACACCCCGGCGGAGGCCGTCCCGCTCCTCGTGGTTCACGGCCACCCCGCGCACGAAGTGGTCCCGTGTGATGCCGTAGTAGATGGTGCACGGGCGCCACGTGTTGAGAAACGAGCAGAAGATCTTGGCCAGCGTGCGGGCAGAGGCCTGCTTCATGTTGGGCAGCGGACGCAACTCGTGGGTGCCGTCACACCCAAAGTCGGCCAGGGTGCCGCGCAGGTAGAAACGGCCGCGGGGCACAAGTGTGCGCCTGTCCGAGGCGTTGACGGCCAGGAGCTCGGTGTGCGGGGGCTGTGGCCGGGGATCTTGGGGGAAGAAAATCGGCACACTTGCAGTGACAGTATGCGGCGCACGCGCCTCTGTCGGATTCTATGGTGCAATACCGCAATATGGGGTATAGACCTGTATTGCACAGTGATACCAAAATTTCTTTGCAAAGATTGAAGGAACAATAGAAGGTACTGATTATGTAGCCAGAGATAAAGTTGGAATAATGAAAGAGGTACATGAGGAATGAACGCCAAACAAGCAATTAGTTTAGTCTCTTTTTTTTTTTTTTTCAATGGCAAACCACAAGTCATTTATGTTTTAGCTTTATTTAGCCATGAAGCAATTTATATTTTACTTGCCCGAATCAGTGTTCTTATTATAAACATGTTTCATAGAATGCTGGCCAAACTTCCCCTGGGGAAACCTCGCAATAGGCAGGAAAAAAAGCTCACAATGTATTGGTCACTGTGAAAGGTCCCATTTAGGAAGGCATGCAGCTTTTTGGACAATTTAGTGCTCGATTCTATTTTGAATAATTAACTTTTTAGTCAGTACAGATAAAGATATGGTTTCAATAATAAACGTCCTGAGTACCCGTCCTAACCACCAAGTCAGTCACTTTTGGTCATCCCTAAAACACCCTGTGTATGAAGTCTATAAAGTTAATTGGAGTGGGCTGAGGGTTCTTCAACCTCAAGAGCCTTCGAAGCATGTCCTAAAGAATGCAAGCATAAAACTCAGTGGCTTAGACGTGCGCGTGGTCGCAAGCTCTACAACACCAGCGAAGAAACACGAAAATATAAAAAAATTGCGTGAAGATCACACGACGTGATTTGTTTAGACAGTGTCACCTGTGCTGCTTATTTGACGATACGACGATGATCGATTGACATTGCGCCAATTGTGCATCGGATGGTGACCTCACATTGGAATGACGCTGCACTGATTTCGCGTTGATACATTGTTGATGAATAAATGGTTTAGCGGCGAAGCTTAATCAGTGCATAGGTCACGTGACGCCAATTTTTCCACTAAATTTAGCGGGGAGCTTTTCGATTACGCTAACGCCATAAAAAAAAACGGGGAACAAGCCACTGACAACTGATGCTGTAAAAAAAAAAAAAAAAAAATCTCGGGGCAGTTTATTAAAAAAGACAAGTCAAACAAGCAAAAAAAAAAAAAACTGGAAAACAGCAAAACAGATCTGGCGAAACAAAAATGATGAAAGACGAACAAAGCACTCAAAGCGCAACTGTACAACCGTTGTCCACACACTTGACTAGCCAAAGATTTTATTAGGGAAGGAGCTGAAGTGTTGTTTTCTTTTTCTGCCGCTTTGCGCCTTTTGCTGCCATGGCAGGAGTAATTTGTCGTCAGGGTGTGTAAACTGTGCAACAACAGGGACGTGGCGCACGGTATGATGTAGTATAGAATGTCCCGGGAGAAGATTTTATCAATAAGGATACATAAGGTGCCTATACTTTCATATAAGATTTTTAAGGTGTTTGAAAAAGAAAATATTTAGAAATATCTGGGTTTGACCAAATTGGGCTCGACTGCATAGGGAAAGTTTGGCATGTGTTAGCTCACATCTTAACACCCACCCACACAAAATAAATGCTCACATAAAAAAAGCGAAAAATGGAATGTCAATTATCTAATAGAAAACTTGGAATGCTATGATTTTTAAAAATAATTTAAAATGCCCACAAATCTGTAGTTTGCTACAAAAGTGAAACAATGCATCAAGATGGGGGAAAAAAAAAAGCTGCAAACTTTAAGGACTTGAATATTAAGGCTTCATGCACGTTGGAATGGCTTTAAGCTCACAGATTCAATGCAGTGACAAAGCAGACTGAAAGACTAAGTGAAGCCATATTCTCCTGCAAAAATATTATTTGCAATCGTTTTGTAACTGGTATAAAATGCAACTTGAAACAAGCTAACAGAGAGTTGAAAAAAGGACTTACTGCCTTCGTTCCATGACTCGTGGTGACCTGCTGTTCGATTCAGCTAAAGAAAAGGAAAGGAATTTAGCTTAAAAAAAAAGCGACGTTGTGTAGAGGCAGCAACTCACATTTCGCAGCTTTTCAGCGGTCATGGAAACCAGCTTGACCTGTGAGGAAGGTCTGTAACAAAAAGTATTCAAGACTGGTTAAAAAATAAATTGTAGTATAAATGTAGTTTGGCACAGACAAGCTCCATGCTCTCGGATGAACATCCAAGGTTTGTGTTTTACCTCCTATCGGGTAATCTATACTGTAAACATAAAACACCCTCCAAGGAGGAAACAAAGCATTAGCAGTATTCCAATATTTAGCAAATGAATATAACCACAGTGGACTCCCATTAAACGAAACTCGGCTAAACGAAAATTGCACTACTTTGGTTGGCTTCCTCTTTATGTAATGCTAAAATTTTTAGGATAATCCAAACATCGGTTAAAGAGGACAGAAACCGAAATTACCCTGTGGACACTCGAGATGGCCGCGGCAGTCAAGCAATCATGAGGAAACTCAATAGCCCAGAGTAGCTGTACTCAAAGCAATCCAATCCACTGTTTTGCATGCCATTAGAGTTAACGTCATAAACTCCTTGCTGCATGTCACGGTAGTCACGTTTAGCTTGCCAGTCGTCAGAAATCCCATCGTGGCTGCCAGTTTCTGCTTACAAGCTTTTGTGTTGACATGGAAGGAGTGAAAATACAACTACTACACTAAGCGCTTTTGCTTGCAACAAAAGTGAAGATGATCCAAGAGCTGGATTGCAGCGATCCCTCGAAGACTGAAATCACCAAGAAGTTTGGCATCTCAAAGTTTACGCTTTCAAGGATATCGAAGGAAAAGAAAAAGTTTTAAGATGCTGTCAAGGTAGGAAGCTTTGTCACAGAGAGGGATAAGAGAGAGAATACGCAAACATCTTTAATGCATCTAGTCAGATACTTGCCACAGACCAATAAGTATGCGGAAGACATCGTACGAGGACATAGAGAATGTTCTTTTCTGTCGTTCAAACATTGATGCAGTGCGAATTTCCCCATCAGTAGGCCCATTTTAGAAGAAAAGGCCGCGAGTGTGAGGGTTGCGCAGAATTTCTGCCCAGTCTCCGAGATATGCAAACCTACTTTCTAAAAAAGTGCTCGCAAAATGTCAAACAAATTACCATTAAAGGGCCCACGAAACGAATTTCAGCTGAGATAAATCAATTTAGATTGGGGTTTTACTAATAGCACATTGTTCAGTGGGCCAAAAGAAAAAAATATAGAAAGACAAAAGCCTGACTTTCAGTACGAAAATTTGAAAACACAGCAGACTATTTCGTACCTCCTTCCCTTCGTAAGCTCTCTGCCTTTTCACTGTGATACATCCGCAGTCTCCAAAGCGCGTTACCGGGTCCAAACGCACGTCACGCGACATTGGACCTCACTTATTCCCTTCACCCCTAAGCTGACATTGTGGTGGGAGCTACGCGCTTGCCAGACCGATCAGCCGCCTCCTTTTCATCACCTGACCTCATTCTCTGCGCGTGGGTATGTGCGAGAGCGTGATCACGTGGCAAAAGTGTGGCTGGCCTAACGATCACGTAGCTTCCACCGCACTGTCAGCTTCAGGGTGAACGGGGTGGGGGAAGCAACTTTTGTCTGAATTTTGAGCGACGGGCTAATCTTCAAGGGGGAGGATGGCTGTATCCGGGTAGGCAAACGATAGTCTGAGCAAGAGGGGACTACCCCCTTATCATCTTCTTGAACTGTTTGGTACAATGTGCGATTTATGAGTTGAGGAGGAAAGCTACACGGGAAAAAGTTTGAAAATTCTAAGAAAACATCCTTGTCTTTTGCTCAGTTTATCTTTGGACGCTTGACCTAGAAACAAAGGGGCTGGCTTTGGGGGTGGGAGGTGAGGAGATTATCCCATTCTTTCTGGATTAGGCAGAAAGAAAGACGAAGACTGCTGGGGGGGGGGGGGGGGGGGGGGAACCTTGTGCACCTTCATCTATTTACGACTCCAATTCACCAAAGGTGGTGCCCTTCGTTTTCCAAAATAATGGTCATAGTGAGGATCGGAGACGCGTGCCAGTGTGCTAGTTGCTGAGCCTGTCTACTGTGCTGGCTTCGTACTGAGCGACACAAACTATTCCGGCTTATACGAGGAAGCTAGGGTATTATGAGCACAGATCACCTCTTTATCCTGAAAAAAAAAAAAAAGTGTTTAAAAAATGTGTAATACATATTTAGTTCACGAGGCACGTATTAATTCAGGAACGAAACCGAAACTAACTTCTATTTTGGATTTAATTTCTCAATAGGCACGTAGCTCTCAAGTTTTGAGCAGCGCTCCAGGCGAGAAAAATAGAATATTTGGCTCGCGTTTCGAATGTGCGTCCTTACCCTTCCGCACTACAGTTTTTTGGTACTCCGTTCCATTATAAGTGCCAGCTAAAGACTTTAGTGGCACTAAGGCCAGCGTAGCAAAGGCTACAAGAGCAAGCTCCGAGCGTTCAGTGTCCCTGCCAAGCACGCGCGCCCGTGCAGTGCGAGCATCATTGGGGAACATGCTTTTGCAAGTAGCTTCAGCTTCGCTATCACGTATAGTGAAACATACGGGCTCAAAGAATCTATGAAAGAAAGCAATAAAATCATAAAGCTGAAAGGAATGTTTAATGGGACGCAGAGGCCGCGAGCTGCATAATTCTTTTTTATTTTAGTTTTTCTTTTTTTAGACGTTTTGTCATTGCGCGTGCACAGATGCTGACAGATGCTTGCATTTGAACGTAGCACGTGCAAAATCGAACGTTACAGCGCCGCCTGGATGGTGCTGCCAGCATAACATGGTCGCGCCTTGTGGACGCGCTCGCGCTCCCTGCCCGAGAGCAACGGGTCTATATAGGCATTAATTTCAGATTCTTTCATAACTGAAGATGTGTCTCATAGCATAATTATTGAGCCAAAGAAGTTGTTCCCAGAAACTTCAGTTGTGATATACGTGTCTGATTGAGGCACTTCCAACTATTTTGGAGAGTTTTGGAGTATTTCAATGATTAATTGCTTTAGCATTATTTCCATGCCCAAGAATAACAAAATCAACCAAATTTTACAGAATACTGCCACATGGTGATGGGTTTAGAATGTGTTCACAAAACATATAAATAAAAAACTGCTCTTCTCACTACAAAAAAAAAGAAGAAAAAAAGAAAAAGGAGACTGATTTTAAGTTAGAGAGTCAGAGATAGACCTGTGCGCCGGTCAGAAATCGCCGGCGGCGGCGCGCCGGTGTTTGTACCTCCGGCGGCGGCGTGTTGACGGCGCGGGGATCAACGGATCGGCGGCGGCGTGGCGCGGAAGAGGGAGGGGAGGGGAGGAGTGTAAATTAGAGAGTGAGGGGGAGAGAGAAAAGAGTCGTTTGAATTTGCAAACCAAAATGCAAATACCATAAAAAGGAACACTTTTTATTTTTTTTTTTTTAGAGCTTTCGCTTTCTGGCCATTGCCTTCGCAGTGAAGAGTACGTCCGTTAGATGAATCAGGTACTTCGGCGTCTTATTTAGTCTCGTTTGTAAGAGAATATGTCGCCGGTGGCAGCCGCGGCCCAAGATCCTCCGCAAGACGAGGACCGATGACAACAGGTATTTTATCACCGCGTTCCACCTCACCACGCGCTTGTCGCGCGTCCCGTGCCTAACAAGTCGACCGAGCACGTCCTTCGATTTATAGAACTCGTACTCTCATTCGGTACGCCGCAAGCCGTCATCACCGACAACGACAGGGTCCTAACCTCTCGTTCGGCTTCGCGGTACCTCGCCGACAGGCACATTCAGAGCACCCCTAAAGGGGTATCCACACGAAGGAGAAATCCGCTCCTTTCCTCCGCGGAGCGCGCATCATGTGACACATACGTCATCCCTTTTTGACGCCTCGTGGCGCCGTTCTCTCGTTCTCCTCCGTGGCGGAGGCGCGGAGGCTTCGTACTCTTAGCATGAGAACTCTGCAAGTGCGCGCGGCGGAGCCGGGGACGGAGTTTCCCGGGTTGCTGACGTCACGACATCCGTCCGCGGAGTTCTCCTTCGTGTGGATACCCCTTAAAGGGGTATCCACACGAAGGAGAAATCCGCCCCTTTCCTCCGCGGATCGCGCATCACGTGAGACATACGTCAACCCTTTTTGACGCCTCGCGGCGCGTTCTCCTCCGTGGCGGAGGTGCGGAGGCTTTGTCCTGACAGCACGAAAGCTCCGCAAGTGCACGCGGCGGAGCCGGGGACGGAGTTTCCTGGGATGTTGACGTCACGACATCCGTCCGCGGAGTTCTCCTTCGTGTGGATACCCCTTAACAGTACTTTACGCTCCCGAAGCTAACGGCTTTGTCGAACGCGCCAACGGAAAAATCCTTCCATGTCTGCGCGAAAGAACGTCAACGGCGCGACATCGACCATTGGATCAATTACCTCCAGGCAACCAGCTTTCAAGTGAACCAGCAGCCGTACGCCGGACTCCAGACATCACCGTTCGAACTCCTGTTCAACTTTGTGCCACGTCGACCAATGGAATTTTCCCCGCTTCAGGGGTATCCACACGAAGGAGAACTCCGCGGACGGATCTCGTGACGTCCACAACCCGGGAACCTCCGTCCCCGGCTCCGCCGCGTGTACCTGCGGAGTTCTCATGCCAAGAGTACGAAGCCTCCGCGCCTCCGCCACGGAGGAGAACGAGAGAACGGCACCACGAGGCGTCAAAAAGGGATGACGTATGTGTCACGTAATGCGCGCTCCGCGGAGGAAAAGAGCGGATTTCTCCTTCGTGTGGATACCCCTTTCCGGACGAGGTCGGCGACGTTCGCGCGAACTGCAACGCTGCAAACGCGAACCTCGCTTACCTTCACGGCATGAAGCGTTCCTCCTACGATGCAAAACATCGACCAGCTCCATACAGCGTCAGGGACAGGGTATGGTACACGAACGGCCTACCTACTTCGAAACTTGGCCTGCTTTTCCACGGACCGTACGTTGTCACTTAAGTCATCACCAACGTGAACAATCAAACCTACACCATTTCCGGGTTTACCCCGCAAGGCACACCGGATTGCCGCCAAGCTGCCGCACAATAGCTCTTTTTTTTTTTTTTTTCACGAACAACCTGC